CTCTCGAAGCCGAGGTCAACGGCACCGTGCCTGCACTGCCCGACGCGCCCGTTGCCCAACCACAGTTCACACCCGAAGAGAAGGCGCAGATGGCCAAGGACAGAGCGGCGAGAAGGGCGAGGGAAAGGGCTGCCGAGCAGGCATCGCAGCCCATGCTGGCATGATGAGACATTGCATTGGCGCATAGATTGCATTAGAGCGTGGCGTTGGGGTGTTTTGCTGGCATCGCGTGGACCATGTGGCACTTGGCATGGTGCATGTTTGCTACTTCTACGCATATACACAGGATTCTATCTGCGACGTTGTTCTACGGGTCTCTGCAGATGATGACGACATGTGCGAAACATGGGCAATGATGCGGCGTCTTGCATCCATGGATGTTTGCCGTCTACGCCAGTATCGCCTTCTCTTCACACGCCGAGCGCGCTGCGTCATAGCCCTTGCCCTACAACAACGCCGTCTCTCCTGCCATCTCTCTCCAACCACCAGAACCTTCCGACGCTGCATCAACAAGCCTTACCCCAGCTCCCTGCACGAAGCTCAAAGCTACCCCGCCATCACCCCACCACAATCAGCCTTACCGAGCAAACACACCCGACATCCCCAGCAAACATGTCGCACTCACACTGTCACGACGAGCATCACGACCACTCGCATGGCGACGGCCACGACCACAGCGATGACATCACGCCCGCGCTACAGAACATACTCTACGAACAACTCGACTTCCCCAAGCTTGTCACCCTCAACGAAGATGAATCCAACAGCGGCCGCGCAATCTGCCAGAAGACTTGGGCGCAGCGCCTCGACCCGGAACCCGAGCTGAAGAGCAGCGCCGACGAACAGATCCTCATGACGGTCCCCTTCACGGGCCAAGTCCGCCTACACTCCATCATCCTCCGCACAAGCCCCGGCCCCGACTGTCCCAAGACCCTCAAAGTCTTTGTCAACGAAGATTCGCTCGACTTCGAAACGGCCGCCGAAAAGGAACCTACACAGATACTCGAAATCAGTCAGACGAGCGAGGTGCAGGAGATACCCGTCAAGAGGGCAAAGTTCGGCACTACACGTAGTCTGAGCTTGTTCTTTGAGGATAACTGGAGCAATGGCGAGGAGGATGAGACGCGAATAAGCTATCTGGCGTTCAAGGGCGACTTTATGAAGCTGAACAAGGAGGCTGTTTCTGTGCTGTACGAAGCTGCTGCAAACCCTAACGATCATAAGAATATTGTGGGTATTGGACAGGGCGTGGGAAGGAGTATACAGTGAGCAGGATGGTTGCACTGAGCTACGAGTAGTCGCGTTGGGGGAACTTCACATAGGCATGGCGCATGGCAAGGCGTCATTATCAAGTAGCGTGGGTATGCTACAGAGTGTCGATTCTACGACCTTGACGTATGTACAAACAAATGCATTTCATATTCTGAGAGGTCAGCAAAGGCGCATGGAATGTTTATGTGAGATGACATACTCAGCGTTGTATTTGCGCTTTCGTGGGTATCGTTTCCTCCGTGTATGCATGTATGTCTCTATCCGATCCAAATAGCGCCCGCCGTGTGGTTCTGCGCTCAGTCTCTTCTCTGGCGCTTGATGTCGTCCCAAACCGCGGAGATCGTTCGCTCTGGGCGTGCCCTTAAACTCCTTCGCCATTTGCGCATGTCTTTTTCGTATGACATCTTCCGTTCCCGTATCGCTGCCTCTCGCCCGCTCAAGTATGTCTCGTTCCGCCCAGCACCTCGCCATGCACCTTGCCCCAGTCTATCTTCGTGTCAATCTCCTCATCCACTCTACCCACCACCGCCACACTATCACCCCGTATGATGTACAGCCCAAGAGGTACTTCTTCACTGGGTTCTTCGTCTTCTATCGGTCGTATGATGCGCTCGACGGCTTCTTGGAGGACGAGGTTCATGCTGCCGTCGCACGAGTGGAGGAGCCCGACCATGGTGCGGCCATCGAGGGTGAGTACTGATACGCGCTCTGTAGAGTGTTAGGAGAATGATATGGTAAGGGGCTGTGGAGGAGAAACTTGCTGTTTAGGTAGGCGTTTAGTGCCATTGTGAGGATGCTGTTTCAAAAACCGCTGGTTCGGAAATTCGGTGGAAGTGCGTTGTTCAGCCGGTATTTGAGAGCGCCTGGGACGTGTTCTTCAAAGTCTTTTTGCGAGAGACGGAAGGATGCTTGCGCAATGTTTCGCGGTATCGTGTATTATGGAAAAGGTTGCGACTTGCTGCGGCGGGCTTATGTCGCGGAGATGTAGACACTCGGACAGACCTCTTCGACCGGTGAGAATCGCGGCGGATAATTGCGGGTTGGGTGAGCGAGAGAAGCAACGTGTTGCTTGCGCGTGACGTGGTTTAGTTTGAACTGGACATGAAGCTCGCGATGCTTTCCGGTGGAGCTTCAGATGGCACGTGCGTCAAGCCAATCAGAGCAGTCTACCCTCCGCATCGCTGCTCTTCTCTCTTCCCTTCCTTTCTCCATCACACTAGCAGATGCCGCGGTCCCTTGTTGCTCTCCATGTGAGCGCTGAATACCTCATCCTTCGGTTTACCCTGCTTCTACTGCTGCTACCCGCAACTCAGCCCGATTTGACCTCAGTATCTGTTCACACAGCGCCACTCTAGCCATTTCGCAACCTTGGACTTGCGAAGAAACACTTCACAAGAAGACTATAGATACTACTCCCAGGATATCCAATAATTGAAGGTCGGCCATCTGCGATGCTCTCGGTGGTTTGAGCGACGTCAACTCCTGCATGAAATGCATGTGCACCGTATGTTTCCAGTGCTGGTGGTCACACATCATCGTAGCATTCACCATCGATCAAGCACAATATGCATGCGAGATGTGCTGGAAAACGGTATTTGGAAGGTTCCCTCCATTGTCTACTGTCCACCGGACATGGCGTCAGGCTGAACTACGAGGTAACTTCTGCAAATGTCGACTTCCAATTATTTGTAGGTCTTGCGTTCCAGGACTCCCAGACGCACTACCTCCCCTCCGACACTCTTACTCAGCCCCATACATTTCTCAGTCTAGCATTGGGTAAGGGTTCTGTTTATGCAGCCTCTGCCTACAACTTCTGGCTATATGCAGCGTCATATCATTGGGTTGCATCGGTCGACTCACACAGCCGACCCATGGTTACGTTGATAAGAAACACCCTCACTGTGTATTCACAAGCGAATTTCGGCTTTTGCACGTAAATACAACAATACATGTTTGATAACATAATCCCCTTTCACACTCCGACATTGCGAAAGCTCTGACAGGTCACCTCAAGAGACTCTACAAATATGTTTTCCTCTACCGCCCGCATCGCGATGCTTCAGGCCCGAAGCTTTCACAAGACTGCCTTGAAGCCCACGTTCACCAATGCTACAGCTTCTGAGATGAAGGAAGGTCATCCCTATCATCGCCACACGCACGATCTAATCGAATGCAAACAGTCTCCCACCACACCATCCGACACCAGCGCCCGAGCAGCATGGCAACGCTACCGCGACGTCGAGGCCCACCAGATATGGCTCTCTTCCCCTCGCAAAGAGTCTTTCCAGACGAAATTGTCAACAAAGCATCCACATCACCCCGAGCCAACACCCGCAATGACTTTCCGGAAAGACCGCGAGATGCACATAGCTGCACGTCGCGCGTCGGATGCCGGGATGCAGGGAAAGATTAACCCAGATCACAAGCTTGCGGGGACTCGGCTGGGTTTCATGAAGGAGACGAAGGACACGAAGTCACTGCGCTCAGGTTGGTTGGACGCGCTGTTGGGTCGTGGTGAAAGGACCTGAACTTCACGCTCGACGCGGCAATCGTTTTGTATAGAAAGTTTGAATCATGTTGAGATGGGTGGACCTGAATGCATGTAGATTGCTAGTACCATAACACAGCGACGCGATATGTTGTCGACTTCGCTCCCGTGGCTACGTGTTGGTGTTGTTTCCAGAGTTGCTGGATGGTTCCGAAGCCCGAGGCTTGCCGAATCAGGTGCTGCTTAGTAATCATCACTAGTCTTCGCTTCTCCCTTCGGCACTCCTCGTTCCATCTCCTCATCATCGTCCATCCGTGACATCATCACCCGATTCACATCTGCAGCACGTCTTTGTCGCGTCTTTGCGCATCCATACAGTACGAATGCCGTCATGATGAAAGCTGTCCCGAAGCCTTGCCGTCGCGCTTCACGTGAGTGCATCTTATCGCTTGCTCACTTCTGAACAATCATCTTCGTGGACCTCGGAACAGTTGTTTCTTGAACCGCCATCGCTATCATTTCTCTCAATTTACTCAATGTGCATCTTACTTGAGCTATGCACATGTGCCAGCAACTATCTCCGTCCAAGTCTGGAAACATCGTGGCGATGGCGGTCCGCGCCTTTCAGTAACACTCACTCAATACACCACGTTGTCCATATTGCTCGGGTGACGGTTCTATCAGTAAGTCCCTTGGTTGTTGTTTTGCTTCCTGAGTGGAACGACAAACACTAGGAGGCTGTAATATGTGGTATGATTGTCATCAAGCTACATGATCCTGAAGGTAATCGATGTTGACGCTATTTCTGGCCCATCACTGGGCAATTGTCACGCTTGCTTGCTATCACAGGGTTTTTAAGCGAGGGTAGAGACATATGTATAGAGACAGCGACGGCTCCCTTCCCTGGTTATCATCCATAATTCGCTACTGTCTCTGGCCTTTGTCACTACGACCATATTGGGTGGCGAGTGCGTACAATCTAGCGTTAATGTGGAGAGAAAGGGAGCGGGGCAGAAGGCAATTCCGTTAGAGGCCGTTGTCACGAGACGTCTACGCCTGCACAGTCAGTGCGCCGTTTCCGAAAGAACTGGGCGACCAATCAGCCAAGGGGTGTACGTGTATATCTCACCTTTCTAGTTTTGAACCCGAAGCGTTTAGGACATAACCAACCCCGCATCGATATCACGGCCAGCAGTTTATCTCTAGAACGATTCTGCATAAGATATCAAGTCTTGATACAATGGGTAGATACGCCAGAATCAAGTTACAGACCAATGTTGCCATCACTTGGCTCATCGAGACTGCTTTCGAGCACGGTGAGTATTGATTTCTCCTTCCGCCACTACCTACTTACCGTACCCTCTAACACGACTTTATTGTAGGCAGCAACGTGCAAGTCGGTGGCGATACCAACTCCAGAGCTTCAGCCGCGGCAACGCCCACGAGCACTTCGATCAAGACAGGCCGGTTGAAGGGAAAAGCGCGCAAAGAAGCAAAGAAGAAGGAGCAACTGCAAAGTCAAGCACCCGCACCTAAGATCAAGGCCTCGAAAACAATCTACAAAGTGTCAACTGAGGAGATACTTCGCCAAGCCCGCTATCTGGAGAACCTTGATCAGGAACTCGTCATGTCTAAGCCTGCATGGAACGCCTTCAAAGAAGCTGTGCGAGGCCGTACAGAGTACGCCACCAAATTCGCCAACAAACAACCGGACCATGAAGGTAACGCCGGTCACGTTTACTTTCTCGATACACTTCGACAGGTAGTCGACATGATTGGAAAGGTTGTTCGAGTCCAAGAAACCTCTCTGGATAATTCGGCAAAACGATAAGACACGGTTCTGACCTTGCATAATCTGTTTGACGTCCTCCGGGACGTTGAGCTGACCGATGGTGTACAAGGAACAGCCAACCTAACTACACCTCCCGACGAAGGTCTAGCTTACGGAGCGGCTGCAGCTGTACCATCAGCTCGTTATGAGCCGGCCATCGACTCCGACGAGGAATCACGGTTGCGTTGGCTCTGTTTCAAGGACGACGCTGATTCAATTATATCATGGGTAATCAACCTATGGAAGCAGTACTTTGACCAGTCTGAGGAAGATGTCAGCTTAGAGACTACATCTCTCCTATCAGATCTAGCGCTCGATCTGTTGTATAAGATCGAAGACGACATGGAGCATAACAACGACAAAGTAAACAAAGCCATGTTCAAGGAGCTGGCCTCACTCTACAATTGGAGTTCGACCGCCCTTGCCCTCTTCGATTTCCGCGTCGCTGCATATGAAGGTAGAGGATACCCGGCTGTAGTAAAGCTGGTACACAAGAGACAACCCCAACTAGGACTCGATCCGTACAAGGATTTTATCCTATTTGACGCTAAATTTGTACGCTATCTTACAGAGCTACAGCTGGAGATGGTTAGTCATGACAGACTAATTGAGGGCCCAAACTGACTGTTCTCAGACACTACGTTTTGATGGTTGGGAGCAAAATGGACCACCGCCCAACACCAAACGTTGCCTCAGTAATGCAAGTCTCGACCTCGTATCCCGCACACTCGCTGTTCCAAGTCGTAGAAACCAGGAAGCCATTGCCGCAAGCCTTCTAGAAGGGATATGGGGTCTACACAGTCCGAACGTGCATGAGCCTTTCCACCGCGTCGCCCGGCTTGCGAACGTCATATCGGATCAGTCCGACCACTGTCGTTCCGATGGTATATCGTTTCCGGAACGTTCCCAAGACAAGATACATGAGTTTAACACCTTGCTCTCGTGGACCATCGAGTGGCCTGGCCATATCCAGCGATATATGATTTTTCGAGCGATCGACTCCAATCACCCTGCCGCAGCCCTCTCTGGATTCCATCGCAACATCTGGAAGTATCTCGATCTCAGTGTTGCCAGGAAAGAACAACTTATCAGGTCATGCGTATCAATTCCCGACCTCGCAGGGACGGCCGAGGCGCGTCTACAATTTGGCGAGGAACATATCATACCATCGGAAGACCAAGACTTCCTGCGCAAAAACAATCCCCTTACACCGGCAAAGCTAGCTCTCAACTTACAGTTCCTACGGGCTGAGATTGGTTTCGATTTCGTGAACGATGATCGCAGCTTGTTCCTCATGTGCCATTTGTATAACGCACTTCGGCAACTAGGCTATCTTGAAGTTCCGTGGAAAACGCTCGACTCACTGATCGACATGCACATCAAGACCATATTCCTTGGTGCACTTCCTACGGAAAGCGCAAAGCAAATGAGCAACCGCGTTCTCATCGCGCTCGGATGCGCGCCAGAACTTGTTCGAGCTCGCAACACTGGGAAAGGTCGGGAGGCAACTATCAAGAACCTGGCGGTATTGCGAGAGAAGAGGTCTGGCGCCCTGTGCTTCCCACCCAGCATGGCTATCGTTGCAGATCATCTGCATGATCGTGAGCCTCTACGCCGCACACTGACGCGTCTCGATGCTGAGATGATCGCGAAACACTCTAGAGAGAGTAAAAACTCCCGCATCAAATCGTTCCTCGACGAAGAGAATCCTACCACCTTTCTCGAGCGTCTTCGCAACCATGTCTCAGACTTCCCACGGTACCTTGCGCTCGACTGTGTTGAGCTGACACGCATTTGTGGCGGTCTTCTTAGGAGATTTAGGTCAGATGAGATGAAGGTACTCATGAAGCACGCAGAATTGGACGCAGCACACCAGCAATATGTCGCGTCGCTAATCATTCAAGAGCTCGACATGGAAGAGTATATGACACGACCAGGTATGCCTGTACGGAAAGTCGCGCACGCGATAGAAGCCGCGGCTATACTGAAGGAGTACATTGAAGGTGGCGAGGATGCTCGAGCAGCGGTTAAAGACTACGTGCAGCGCAGGTAGTTCTGCTCCGCGATGATGACTCTCATACCGTAAATGTGTACGCGTAATCTCAGAGACATACCCGCCTAGTACCCAGTTCCAGAACCAAATCATTGGCCTTCTCTCTTTCCACAGCTCATAATCCTCTAGCAGTTTTCGTCAAGCTTGTCATAGATTACCTCACGCGCACGAAGCACGCCTGTCACCATACATATACAGTATTTCCCAATGAAGCCTTATTTCATCTCAGTAACCAGTTGTAGAGTTCCCTTAGGCATGCTACATTAAAAGGTCACCACGTCGCCAGCTCGATCTATCCTCCAGGGCTCAGTCCGAGCTAGAGAATGAGCTATACCCAATACGGTAAAGTCACTCGGGGGTCCGCACACTCCTTGAGCGCGTCGCAGCGTCCTCAATCTTTCTTCTCCACAACTTCGATGGCGCTCAGGCTGGAAAACAAGAAGTTCGGTTTCCTTCCAACTAGGTACTGTCACTTCTCTATCAGGCTGGACGAGAATGTGTAAACGTCTTTCAATGCCCGCGGAATCAGCATACGTCCGAATGATGTCACATCGGACGCATTAACCGACGCGGAGGATAGCGCATCAGCACATCATCATGCCATTCGCCCTGTGCTGGCTGAAGTATGTGGGATTGTGCATTTGCTGCTATTATCGTTGCAGCGGGGGACTAAGCACTGCATACCCAAAACAACTCGCACGACCTTGAGCTCGCGGCCCACTGGAATATCGACAACGACCAGCATCTAGGTTTCTATTACATGTTCTGAACACCGAAACTTTTAGTACTGTCGCATCACCTATCGAGTCAGGTATTCTTTCTCCACGTTGGATACCAGCACTCGTCATGTCGTCGACACGCGCCAATGAGCACAACAGCGGGAAACGAAACAGTAACGCATCACAGCTGCCAGTATGGCGCCGAAGACTACGTCGCGTAAAGTTACCGATACTCCCAGTTCACAATCAGGAGGGCAATAGAGATCTCGAAGTCACCACAAGCAAAGGCCACCTCTATTTTCTCGACCAGTTTCGCGACAAGGTACCTCTACGCATTCGCAACCGATTTATTGCAATGATCTCTGAGTTCGTGGGAACATTTTTCTTCATGCTCATCGGACTAGGCGGCAACTCGGCCGTCATCAACAACACAGCGGCTGCTGCACAGTTCAATGGAGGCGATGCTTCAGCAGATCCTGCTAAGATCCTGCTCATCGCTACGGTCTGGGGCGTGGCTGTCACGGTCAATGCCTGGACCTTTTTCAGGATTAGCGGTGGGCTTTTTAACCCTGCTGTAACTATGGCTTTGGTGCTCATCCGCGCCGTACCACCACTTGATGGTCTTCTCGACGTCTTCAGCCAGCTTGCGGCATCTATCTTGGCAAGCGCCATTGCTTATGGACTCCTACCTGAAGGTGCTCTGGCAGCCACTGAGCTGGGAGAGAACACAACAGTCACGCAGGGGCTGTTCATCGAAATGTTCATTACCGCCCAGGTCGTTGTGTCCATATTCATGTTGGCGACGGAAAAGCACAAGGCTACATTCATCGCGCCTGTCGGTATCGGATTAGCTGTATTTGCATGCGTTCTCATGTAAGTCTTCCCTATATTCTCCGCAGCTATTTGTAGTCAACACTACACTATTAGGGCAAGTTACTCACGAACTATAGGGCTTCAACCTACACCGGCGCAGCCATCAACCCAGCTCGCTCTTTTGCGGTCTGTGTGGTGCAGGGAAGCTTTCCACACTACCATTGGATCTATTGGGTTGGTCCCGGGCTGGGTGCACTGCTGGCAACTGCTTTCTACCAATTGATACGCAAGCTGGAGTACTGGACAGTGAATCCCAACGTCGACGACTACGAGACGAAGGTCGGCGAGACCATTCGAGACGTCGCGAGTAGAGTGGCAGACATATCAAATGTTCCAGGCACGAGGTCAAATGATCCGACGAGGATGCCGGAGGGACTGTGATTGTTGGACAGATCCACTGAAATCCAATTTGTTCAACACACAGATTGCATCGGGGCGATTTGTGTCTCTTTTAGTCTTTACATAGAGTACAGGTCATCCGGTACTTCTTTACAGATACGCGTAGATTTGTAATGATATAGCTACCTAGGTACCTAGGTATATAGGAAGCGTCTACAGATAGCAAGAAAGCATTGCGGTATTAGTACGGCCGTAGTGATCAGGTTCAATTGCAATAGAACGATAGCTTTAGTTGTCAGTCCGGTCCTAACTCCAAGAAAGAAACAATGCGGACGCGATAAGGTCGGACATGCTTGATGCACGGGCCATTCGGACCCGCTGGTACCGTAGCGTGCCCGAAACCTGGCAAACCCCAGATGCCATCACCATCCACCAACATGCCCAGGTATGAAGCAATCCCAATCTCTTTGGCGGAATGCCAGGTTCTACACTCTTCACTGACCTTCCTATTCAACATTACTGCGCCGCTTGCAAAGGATGCAGGCAACACGAGGCGCCCACTGCAGACCTTGTTTATCCGAGATGCCGGTTGCTGGTGCCTCTTGGCGGGGACGCAGCGCGCCTTGGGAGGCTTAACACCTGCTCAATGCGGCAACTACGATGCGCATATCAATTAGACTGATAGATGCAGTGGAAGGTAGATAAATAGGTCCGTTGGCTGGCCTGAGCACGACAGGTGCTTCGTTGCATTCGTCTTGAGTTTCTACCCGACGTATCGTTCTTGCTTCTTGCAAGTGCGTCGCCATGCGCTCTTTCGCGATCCTCGCTGCAGCGCTGCCGTTGATTCACGCCATCGACCCTCCTCGCATGCCACACCAACCTCTCGGCAATGGCACAAAGCGTCTGAGTTACAATGAGACCACCAACGCTCCTGGTTCTTTGACGCCCTCAACCCGATCTTTCACGTGGGTTGGCACCGGAGAGGATGGCGATTACATCTACACAGCCGCGTCTGGAGACTTTGTCTTCGAGAACGTCGCCACTGGCGAATCCTCAACTTTCATCTCGGCTGATCAGGTCCCGGCTGACTACTGGGACTACTTCATCTCGCCCGATGCGACCAAAGTCATGTGGGCCGTCAACTACACCAAGCAGTACCGCCACTCTTACTTCGCCGACTACCTGATCATGGATGTTGCGACTGGAGAGTCCGTATCTCTTGACCCCGAGTCCGTCGGCGATATTCAGTACGCTGAATGGAGCCCGGTTTCGTCATCTCAGGTTGCATTCGTCAAGGGCAACAACCTGTACATGTCCACCAACGGCACCATCTCCCAGATTACTGAGGATGGAGGCCCCGACTACTTCAACGCTATTCCTGATTGGGTCTACGAGGAAGAGATCTTTGGCGATCGCTACACTCTGTGGTTCTCTCCAGATGGAACTAGGATTGCTTTCCTCAGCTTCAACGAGACTGGCGTCGGCACATTCAGAATCCCATACTATATTGAAGACGATGCAGAATACGTTCCCGTCTACCCCAACGAATTGGAGCTCCGCTACCCCAAGGTTGGCACCAAGAACCCCACGGTGGTCATGAACTTGCTTGATGTGGAGTCTGGCGAATACACCAATGTCCCCATTGATGCTTTCCCAGAAGACGACCTCGTCATTGGCGAAGTTGTCTGGCTTACCGAGGAGCACAGTAAGGTCATGTACCGCGCTTACAATCGTGTCCAAGACATGGAGAAGCTGGTACTTGTTGATGTTGAAGCTGGGTCTTCCAAGGTCACTCGCGAGCGTGACGGTACCGATGGATGGCTAGAGAACTTGATGCAGGTTCGATACATCGGAGCTGTCGAGACCACGAACGCCACTTACGGAAACGCTACCGAGTACTACATGGATCTTTCTGATATGAGCGGCTGGGCGCATATCTACCTCTTCCCCGTCAGCGGCGGAGAGCCCATTGCGCTGACATCTGGCGAATGGGAGGTTCTTAGCGTTCTCAAGGTTGACTACTCTCGCGGACTCATCTACTACACCTCCACCGAGCACCACAGTGCTGAGTCCCACATGTACTCTGTCAGCTTTTCCGGCGAGAAGACTGCCCTGGTCGACGATACCGTGACCGCTTTCTGGACCGCATCTTTCTCTTCCGGTGGCTCATACTATGTCTCTCGTTATGCCGGTCCCGACGTGCCATACCAGGAGCTCTACTCCATCAACTCCACCGAGCCAATTCGCACGATCGTCAACAACACTGCGCTTTACGAGAAGCTTCAGGGCTACGCTCTTCCCAACATTACGTACCTTGATATGGAGCATCCTTCCGGATACACTCTTGATGCCATGCTCCGTCTTCCTCCCAACTTTGACCCCAGCAAGAAGTACCCTCTCATCCTCCTTCCGTACGGTGGTCCCAACGCCAAGGAGGTACAAAAGTCCTTCAACGCGCTCAACTGGAAGGCTTACATTTCATCTGATCCCGAGCTCGAGTACGTAACTCTCACCGTCGACAACCGTGGTACCGGTCGTAAGGGTCGTGCTTTCCGATCTCTCGTCACCTCTAACCTCGGTGAACTTGAGGCTGAAGACCAGATCTGGGCTGCCAAGGAGATGGCAAAGAACGAGTGGATCGACAGCGAGCACATTGGTATCTGGGGTTGGTCGTACGGCGGCTACCTCTCCTCCAAGGTCGTTGAGGTCGGCGACCCAATCATTAGCTACGCCATGATCACCGCTCCTGTCAGTGACTGGCGCTTTTACGACTCTCTTTACACCGAGCGCTACATGAAGACTCCCGATATTAACCCCGAAGGCTACAACCGCAGCCGTGTCCACGATGCCACTGGCTTCAAGAAAATCGCTGGTGGTGTCGTCATCCAGCACGGTACCGGTGACGACAACGTACACTTCCAAAACTCGGCTGCGCTCGTCGATCTCCTCATGGTCAACCAGGTCACTCCTGAGAAGATGCAGAACACTTTCTTCACCGACAGTGACCACAGCATCAACTTCCACAACAACGGCAAATTCTTGTACAAGCAGCTGAGCAAGAAGCTTTATGAGGAGAAGGCTCGTAACGGCGACAGCTTTGGCGGACATCAGTGGAGCAAGAGGGCTTTGGGACGGAAGTGGATGGCTTGAAAGCGCTTCTAGTTAAGTCAAAAGTCATGTAATCTTTAGTTCTAACAATGCCATAATGTAATGAACATTCCAAAGTCTACCAACTCTCACTTCACATGTTCTCCTGTCAAGCGATTTTGCCATTACTTACCTTGTTTCGAACAATTATGCCTCTGTCGTAGTCGTCATCATCTCATTCCAGACGAAGCAACACCCCCACCAAATCGACAGCGTACCGTAGAGCGCACGATTTGTAAATATATCAGCGACATGCATTGGCTATGTGCCGCTTCTACGGCTGATGTGTATTTTTTGTGGGTGTTCGCGTATGAATGAATGAGCAAATGTGACAGTTAGCGCTCATTCATAGGACAAACGCGATTTCTGAGAATGCAGTGAAGAATCTAGCACTCGCTGGTCGCATTGCGCGTCTGAGACCACAATCACTAACAAACAAACCATCGATATAACACGACTTAGAACGACCTATCACCGCCGCCATATCTCCCGAACGCGCGAACAGAACTTTCCCTAGCCAAAAAACATGGCAGACCAGACCCTTCTTACGAGGACGACGCAACGCGAAGACACCCCGAACGACAACTCTCAGAAGTTCCAACACATGAAGACAGTATCCAGTCTTGCAGACGGACACCGCTACGCACTGAAGTACTTCCCCGAAGAGCTGCAAGCCCTGCTGAACATAGCTTCACTCAAGCTCGACGAACGTGTCCCCGGTCACTTCGGCGCGATCTTAGGATGGCAGAAAGATTCCAAAGCGGCGTCTCAACACCCACAGGTGACGATGAAACCCTTAGAAATTCTCTGGGATCTGGAACACCGTACTATAGTACTGTCCGATTCGTTTCCATTTAGTAGGAGTACTTGGAAGGTCGTTGACATTGATGGCGAGGAAGCACTACCAGTATTGCGACGTGGCTACGATCTCGTACCGCCATTCTCCACGATTCTCACAGTAGTTGACCATGAGCACTTGGTCATGCTTGAGGTGTTCTTCCGCTATAGTCTCCTGATGCAAGGCTTCGACGATGCAATTGAAGGGTTCAAGAACGAGTTCTGGCTTTGCTTCGAGAAGCTTTGTCGCCATGTCGCGGAGCAAGCTTCGGCAGCCGGTGCGCAAGAAAAGGAGGACGATACGGATTTATCCGAGAAGACTGTACCGTCTACACCTGCTCAGACAACAAACGCAAAGCTTGATACCCTCACCAGCGAAGTCGATACCAGCGAGCATGTACACCAAGAAAGCAGTACAGCGCCGGAGACCAAGGAGGAAAAGGTGGAGGCTACCGGTGATGATATTGAGAAACAGCTCGCAAAAGCGCATGAGGAAGCAGCTGGATGGAAAAAGGCCTATGAGGGTGAGAAGAACTTCGTAGCAAAACTAAAGTTTGTGATACGTAAGCACGTGGCAAGATATGATGAGCTTAAAGCCAAGCTCAAAGAGCGAGAAGGGGATGTGGAAGAGTGGAAAGAGGTGTATGAGGCCTTGCTCAAAGAGACCCGAGAGGCTTAAACTATCTTAACAGCTTACGGATGTACCTGGTCGCATAACATGGGAGTGAGAGAAGGTCGGTCAAGGAATATCACCTAATAACTAGCATTAAGCACACATACTCGCTGAAGAGTTCATATTAATCCCACATCTCGTCTCCTCCACAACTGTAGCCCTGTAAACATAACAGCTACTTGAAATAGACCTCAACCCTGATTGAAGTTCACTTGATCGAACGACGAGTTCCACTAAGCTCCACTACTTCGATCATTCCCATCATGTGCAAACCGATGAGGCCTCCAATCGCCTCCACCACCACTGGGCCTGTTTCTATCACCCCTACCGTATTGTCCTCCATCGCCGCCATTATCGGAGCTCTGATAACTACCTGGACTATTCATTACAGGACTAGAACGCTCTGAGCTCCTACCCCTACCATATCCGCCTCTGCCTTCAAATCCGCCTCTGCCTTCAAATCCACCTCTTCCGCGGGGACCAAAAGATCCACGGCGACTGCCAGGACTCATGTCGACAGGACTAGAAGGCTTCGAACCCCGACCGCTACTGTAGCTGTTCCTGCTGTCAGGTCTACTCCTGTTGGGGTTTGGGAACTTCCCATGAAAGCTACCTGGACTGAAACCTGCGGTACTGGGAGATCCTGGGCTTCCACGACTTTGCGGCCGAGAAGAGATCCCCAGTGCTTTATTCTTGCAACCTGTCTCTCTCGAATGCTTAGGCCAGTCTAGATACCGCCTTCCATTGGGCAATTGGATCATCTCGACCGGAACGTCAGTGTTGCAGTACTTGCAAAGGGCTGTTACAATATCAGACGTGGGGGACTGGCCTGCTGGCAGTGACGATGCGTTGCTATGGGGGGTGGTCACGCCTGAAGCATTGTTGGCCACACTAGTATCGATAGTAGGCTGTGGTTTGGCGGCAGGAGAGTCAGGGCTCTCTTGCGCTGGAGAGTTGTTTGATGAGAGTGCACTCGGAAGGCTTGCTGTTCGAGCAGAAAACTTCTGGATCTCTGAATCGAACTCTTGTTCATCGTCATCTGCCCAGCTTTTTCTTGTGGCTAGTCTTCCACTGGCCTCAGCGACTGGCGCCATGGGAAGTTTCACTACAGGACTCAAGGCTTCACCAACTTCTGCGCTTTCGTCACCGGTCGTCGGTCTCCCGTCTGGGGCTGTGGGAATTTGAGCGGCCACCTCTACCCAGCTATCATCAGGTGCAGTTCCTGACGTGTTCGATTGCTGAGGCGAGGTCGGCAACTTCGTGATATCTGGCTGCGACTCGTCTCTCTGCTTTGAAGCGTCACTAGATGTGTTGTCCTGTAGTCCTTCGGCATGCTCCTCAGCTTGATCTCCACTTTCTTTTGCCTGACTGTGCTCTTCCAACGTCGCTTCTAGATCCATCTTTTGCCTCTCCAACGACTCGACTTGGCTCGTGAGACGGTCCAGCTGCTGCTTATTCTGCACTTCATCTGCTTTCATCGTTTCGATATGGGCCTCGTTCTTTCCGATGTCTTTCGTGAGTACATCGTTTCTGACTTTTAAGTCAGCGCTCTTGAGACTCTCTGCCTCTAGCTTTTCTTTGAGATCATCTATGGTCGTGCTCTGATCCGCTCTTGGCTGTCTTGTGCCCTCATCAAGCCCAGCGAGCCTCTCGTTTGCCTCCCTTTGCTGGTCTCGTTCATGCTCAGCTGATGACAGATCATCTCGTAGTCTTTTGTCCACAGCCAAATGGTTTTCGATCTCGTAGGCCATTCGTTGTTGATCACTTCGAGATGATGACAGGCTTGTCTCCAAATCACTGATCATCGAAGACAGACGTTTGTTCTCTTGTTGCATCTCATTCTGATCGCTCTGCGCAGTTAATAGCTTACTCTCCAATTCCTCGAGTTCAGACGACATTTGCTTCATCTCGTCTCTCGCCGTAGTCCGATCGTTTTGAGCCGATGCCAGTCTTTCCTCTAGTCCCTCGATCTCGTTCTCGTAGTTTTTTATCGTTTCCTCCTGCTGCTTCATCGCGGGGTCTCCATTGGCAGCTACGCGCTCCTTTTCTTGCTCAAGGATTCGTAAAGACCGTTCAGTTTGGGCGACCTGAGTTTGAAGCTCTTCATTCTGCATGAGCAGTGTCTTGTACTCGTCACTCTGCTCCTCTCCATGGGACTTGGTGGCGCGCTCAAGGTCTTCCTTCAAGCTCACATTGGCCTGCTCTAGCTCGTCCTTTCGTTTGGTAATCTCGCTCATTTTGCTCTCCAGATTCTTTATATGTGATTTGACCGCCACAGAAAGCTCGTTCGCATCCGCCGAGCTTACATCCGTTGTTGGCTGCACAGTTGAGGACCTCTTGACATCGTGAGTACCAGCGCCCACTGTTTGGAGATGATCAACACTTTGGCTGAGATCGTTAATACGGTCGCTTATAGTATTGAATCGATCGGTAGCTCCATCTGCCTTCTCGCGAAGCTCGCCGATACTGGCGTTGAGGGCGTTCAACTGCTGCGGTAATTGTTCGAAAGCAGCGAATCCTTCCTGCAAGGTCCTCATCTGCGCATCGTGCCACTGCTTCTGCAATCCAGCGTCACGCACACGGCGAATCCAGTCAAGAAGTAAGGCGCCGGAGAAGAACGCAACAAAGACTGCCGCGAGAAAGACAACATCGTCGGGTGTAGTAGGCATCGCGCTGAGCGCACGTCGTGCAAAGGTGTATCTCTCCATGACTGTTGGTTTTGCTTTAAGGCTAGCAGAGGTGAGATAATGTTTCTTCAATGTCCGATCATCTACAGGATGTTGAGCGAACATATCGAGTTCGCGCGAAACAAAGGCGCAGCGCAAGAGATAAAGGCGAAAGGATTACAAAGACCCTGTCTGAACAAAGAGGTAAGGAATGCAACCATCTTGCAATCTGAAAGAAGTTGCCGATCGCGATCGCGGGTTCCAAATTCGTCGACCCAGGGGTCCAGCAGAAGCACCATATCCTTCGCCAAATGAGGAGTGGTGCACATATGCATCAAGCAGTCCCCGCTATGTCTGAATTCTCCAGAATCTCGTCCAACAGTTCAACGAACCTAACAGCCATCTTCTTTCCGCCCGCTTCGTTTGGCTCAACTCTCGCTGTATAGTCATCGGCCAGCTTGCCATCGAGCACCTCATACAGTGCGCAAGGCACTGTCTCCGTACCCTCAATCCGTATCGCTTTCGTCGCCATCTCGTATATCGCTCGAATGGCGGCTTGTAGCTGCCCCGGGTATGAGTTGTATCCTAGCGCCTTGAGCTGCGCATCAGCCCAACTGGTCTGCCCTAGACCCGACTCGAGTGGGAAGTATATCATGCAGACGATGACGGCGCGAGGCTTGGTTTTGGCGGTAAGGCGAGCGATGTAGACTTGGGTCTTGGTACCGAACATCTGCTTGAAGTACTGCAGTGCGCTTGCGGTCCCGCTCTCTAGGCTTTTGCGTTGGGTCAGCCAGGCGAGCTGTAGCATGTGTCGTATCGTGGAAGGGTTCGGGCGCAGCGCAATATCGTTGGCGCCAACGCTGACGATCAACATGTCGTTCGAACGAATATTATCGCGAATGAACTCGTCGTGCGGTAGAAGTACGTCGTCTCGATCTCGAAGCATGGATTCTTCTACTGCCGTGTTGATACAAGTCGCACGATGCTCAAGCAGGCTGTTCATCCAGAACGCGACATCTGGCTTCGGAACACAAGGGTGTTTGAATGCTTCATCGTAAATGCCTGGCAGATGGGTTGGAACGATAGGACCAGTCTTGTCGACCCAGTGCTTGTTGTCGAGAGACGAATCCCCAGCCAGATATACGATTGGTTTGTCCGGCCGTTCTGCAAGCGTAACATTGCGAAAAGTGGCGAGGTCGTCGATAGGATGGCCCTTCCACTCGAAGTAAAACCGGGCGCACTGGATCTTTTCCATCGCAAATGGGGATGAGGATGCCATTCTTCGCGAGATGTAGACCGTCGTCAGGGAAAATAGGCTCCAGTCGGATGACCCATGCCAGCAATACGCGACGCTGCCACTACTGCCGTCAGGTGATGTCGTCTACATATTCGGGGAGAACCGCGGAGTTTGTATTGACGCGTGTTCGCGCGGGTTCGGAAGGGAGCATCTTCGAGATGCGCGTGTGACGACGGATGATGTGGAAGCAATCACCTCGAAGATGCGTGGGCGCGCACGGACTCCACTACCATGACATCACCGGGAACTCGATGAGCAGTTGCCCAATCGGGTAAGTTAAGGAAAGGTGTCGACTGTTCCGCGCTTTCACGGAAAGCGCGTCTTAGGCGAATTGCGCGAACTGCGCGATAAGAGTGAATTGGGCGGACTGCGCAGCGTGAGCGACCGGGGCTATTAGAGCGTCCATGTCGTCTACCATCCGCAGGACGGCGGACCGAGGTGTTTAGCATCTCATTACTCATACATTAATCACTTCAGGGCAATATGTTCAAGAAATAAGGGTTAAATAATGCTCTCTATCTACTCAATCAAGGCGACTTGGTGAAGACAAAGCCTATGCTACATTGCTGTGCCGAAATGTAGCCAAAAGCTGTTCCTGCATAACAAACTGCTCGTTTTTGGCAGCGAGCTCGTCGGCCAACGTGCGATGCGCAGGATCCAAGCACTTGGCTTGATTACGGATCTGTGCTTCCAGAGCTTCAGCATGCGCCCGATACTGATGAACGGCCTTGTCTAGCTCGACAACACGCTTGGTCTTTTCTGCATGGTCCTTCTCGACATCCTCCATGAGGGCTACAAATTGGTTGGCAATCTCTTTGGGCCCTTTAATGTCGACTTTGGAAGTCGAAGACATGGCGCTTTTGACGCGCTGGAACAAAGAGTAGTTGCGCTTGTTGCTTGGTTTGATGTTGATTGTCAAGGCCACATTGGGTAGGTCGGGTGTAGCTCGCGTGTTAGCAGCAGAAGTGGTCATCTTGAATGGTGGGTCGCTGAGGTTGTTGATGGACTTACCAAGATCCTCCAGTCCAGCTAGCATGTCAGGG